TAGAAATAAAAATTCAGAAAAATAAAGAACCTGTAAATAAACACGTATCTTCCCGACAGCCAGAACATTTTGTTATACTGATGATCAGTTTTATAGTATTGTTGTTTTTCATGAAATAAAACACAAGATGAAGCCACAGTCTTCTCTGACCATCACCAATCTCTACTCCCTACCCTCTGCTCATCATTAGGTAACTATTGTCTTAAGAGTGGGTGTTCCCTTTCAGTCCATTTCAAAAACATTTACATCAACAGATAATATTACATATACAGCTATCAATAAATAGTAATATTTGGTAAACTTACCTAAGTGGTACCACACTATGCATATCTCTTGCTTTTTTCACTCAATATTGCTTTTTAGATTAATGCTACAAATTACAATTAACAGACCTGAAGGGTCTCTAAGATCTGAAATGGCAAGTAATATCCAACCGCTGAATAATTTTATACTCTTAACTTGGGAGCAATGATGGATTTCCAGAGGTTCATAAAATGTTCACAAAAACAACCTTTTCTGAAAAACAATCAGTAGGTTTCATCACATTCTCAAAGAGGTCCTTAAACCTAAAAGAAATTAGAACTACTGTTTACCTCTCTCCATCGGCAGTAGTCCTTTTTCTAGATTAATCTGTAGAATACAATCTCTGATTTTTACCTTTCAGTTCTACAATTTTTTTTGTATTGTAGAGGAATAACCTATCCCCGAACCCTATTCATTCATTTAAAAAAGCTTACGTGACGGAAACTGTACAAGACAGAGGCTGCCATCTTCCTGTTTAAGCTGAACCCGGACTCTGCCTCTGTATTGGACATCACGATTCCATTCTCTAGAGTACATTTTATTTTTCTAATATAAATAAAACAAAAGAAACAGGCTTTAAGAAAGTTATTACATCAATGAGATGAGTATGTAAAATAATGAAGAAAGAATGACATCATACCTCAAGAAATACATTAAGTCCAACTGCTGAGCATACATCTTGAATCTCTGTAGCTGTAGGATTTTCAACAGCCTGAACAGTTAACAAAAACACGAAATAGCTAAGCTTTAAGTGGGTATCACTATAGTGTTGTGTATATTATTTTAAATACTATAATCAAAACACATCAAACTCCTACATTTTCTTTTTTACTAGGTACAGTTGTTTCAACTGTAACTTAAAAAATTCCCAGGAGTAACACTGATGCATACATATGTGTCTGTCTCTCCCTTCCAACAGAACACAAACTTCTGAGGCAGGTACTTTGTTCACCAGTGTATTCCCCAGCACCTAGCATGGTACTTTAAACATGGTAGGTGCTTAGTGAATATTGACTATTTTTTTTTTTTTTTTTGAGACAGAGTCTCACTTTGTTGCCCGGGCTCGAGTGAGTGTCGTGGCGTCAGCCTAGCTCACAGCAACCTCAAACTCCTGGGCTCAAGCAATCATTCTGCCTCAGCCTCTCGGGTAGTTGGGACTGCAGGCCATGTACCACCATGCCTGTCTAGTTTTTTCTATATATATATTTTTAGTTGTCCAGATCATTTCTTTCTATTTTTCAGTAGAGACGGGGTCTCACTCTTGCTCAGGCTGGTCTCGAACTCCTGACCTTGAGAGATCCACCCGCCTCGGCCTCCCAGAGTGCTAGGATTACAGGCGTGAGCCACTGCGCCCGGCCCGAATATTGACTATTTAAGCAATGACACATACAACTACTTTAGAAAACTGGCAGTATTTATTAAAGCCGAATATATGCATTCCCTATGTGCAATTCCACTCCTAGTTCCATTCAACAGAAATGCAAAAATACAAGCTCAAGAATGTTCATAGCAGCCCCAAACTAGAAACAACCCAATTATTCATCAAGAGTAGTAAGGACTGTAGTACAGTCACAAAATGCAACACTATAGGACAGTGGTTTTCAGCAGGGGAATTCCAACCCCTGCCTCCAAAAAGACATTTGGCAATGCTCGCAGACATTTTTGATTGTCAAAACTGGGGATGTGGAGGTGGAAGACTTGTGATCTAGTGCGTAGAGGCCAGGGATACTGCTGAACATCTTACAACGCACAGCACAGCCCCCTAAAACGAAGAGTTATCTGGCTCAAAATGTCAATGGTGTTGCTGTTGACAAACTTTGCTACAGAGCAATGAAAATTCAATACATTAAAAAATGTGGATAAATCTCACAAGCTTAAAGTTTGGTGAAAAAAGACACAAAAGTACAGAGTGCATAATTCCATTTATATAAATTCAAAAACAAGCAAAAGTAATCTTTAATGTCTGAAGTCAGGACAGTGGTTATCCTTGCATATGTGGAGGGACAGTGACTAGAAGGGGATATAAAGGAATCTTCCTGGATACTGGTAATGTTTTCTAATTAGGGTGCTGGCTACTCAGGTGTAGCATTTTGTGAAAATTTATCGCTTCAGACCAAGTTACCTTTAATCTGTCATTATATTACAAAATATAAATGACTCCTTAAAAACAGAATATGACATCAATTTTACAAATAAAAACCTTCTACAAAAGCCTTCGCTTGGCATTAGGCATTTTCCAAACTCAAGCCACCACACCAACTAAAAACTTGTGTTTTTCTATCCAAAGGATACAAGGAAGAAATCATATCTTTTAAAACTTTAACAGTCTACTTTTAAAAAGTATTAATTTTGAAGCAAATTTACCCCTTTCAAAAAAAAAAAAAAAGATAATGAAGATATAACTCAACAGGGCTGAACTTTCGGCAGGTCTTTTTCACATACTTTTAAAAAACTCCACTGCATTCTAAGCATTATATTGTACAATGTCATAATTTTAATTTCCTTTACTAAGGAGAAAATTGTCACGATTGGTTTAGGAAAAAAGTGTGAGCTCTACAGACCCCAGCCCCCAACACACACACACATTTCTTTACAAACACAGGCTCATTAAAAACAATTTTTAAAAATTCCTTCAGTTAGTTATAAATTAATGTCTTTCTGGTTTCACCAATACTAAGGAAAGCACCCAATTCTTGGCTGCTGTTCTCCTCAAGCCCTAAGCAAATGCAGTGAAGTATAGGAAGCCCTTGTGGCCCTAAAGGGACAACTTCCCCCAACCCCTCAAGGACTGAGGTGCCGGCCACCGGCTTACCTTACTGATGGGGATCCGCCTTCCTTCTGCGATGGTCTTCTTATTATTTAAATAGGCAGGATAGATACAAATAAACCTGCCACAGGAAAAGCACATCCAATATCACTAGAGCAGTATTTCCAAAAATTCATTCATTCAGTCCAACGTCATCACCATCGCCGGTGTACACCTATACTATTATTTGCTTAACAGTTTTTCTCTAAATTACAGCCCTTAACTTAAAAAGGAAACGTTATTATTCACTACCTTGAATGGAAAAAATAAGAGTTAAAACCTTAGATAAGACTGGAAAAAAAAAGACCAAACGATGTGGTAACTGTTACATTAGACACAGCTGTCACAAGTTCCTGAGAGGTGGGCCTCGCCCTCAAAAAAAAAAAAGTACGGTGCATGAGGTGTTAAAAACTTCAAAGAGGCCGGGCGCGGTGGCTCACGCCTGTAATCCTAGCTCTCTGGGAGGCCAAGGCGGGCGGATTGTTTGAGCTGAGGAGTTCGAGACTAGCCTGAGCAAGAGCGAGACCCCGTCTCTACTAAAATTAAAAAGAAATTAATTGGACAACTAAAAATATATAGAAAAAATTAGCCGGGCATGGTGGCGCATGCCTGTAGTCCCAGCTACTCGGGAGGCTGAGGCAGGAGGATCGCTTGAGCCCAGGAGTTTGAGGTTGCTGTGAGCTAGGCTGACGCCACGCACTCTAGCTCGGGCAACAGAGTGAGACTCTGTCTCAAAAAGAAAAAAAACAAAAAACTTTAAAGAACCCATATGAGCCTTTCTGAATGTAACAATTAAAAGAACACATTCCTCACTCAGATTCTGTTACTTAGTATCATGCCACGTAACACCCAGAGTCCTTCATCTCAGGCACAGGTAAACACTGACTACCTACGGTCGGAATTTCGGGGGACCTGCGAAGAGCCTACTCAGTGTTGCAGACTTCCCGGAGGAACGAGCAGCCCGGGGAAGCGCGAGGCGCGCAGCCGGCGGCCCAGGCCGAGCTCACGGCCGAGGCTTGGGGAAGGGCGGCGCAGCACCCGCGGCATCGCAGCAAGCCCCTTCCTTTCTCAGGACCCACCTCCCCAGGACCCACCTGTCCTGGTCGGCCGGGGACCGCGCGGCTGCGCAAGCCATCCTCACAGGTGTCCGCACAGCGCCAGCACAAAACTCCCAGCGAGAAAACCAACCGGAACTCGGCTCTGAGTTCCTGAGACAGCTTGTTCTTCCGGCGGAAGTCCTGCCCCACCAAAACGGCTCCGCCTCCCTAGTTTTTCACCGCCTGTTTGTTCCAGCACCTGTCGCTCGGCGTCAGGATCTCTAGTCTCTGACGTGGCGCGAAGACCTCTCCTCTCGCGAGAGGATCGTGGAAGCCGTGATTCCTTCCTTTCCCAAATCTCGCAACGTTATAAGCGCATGCGCCGTCATTAGACCGAGCTTAGTAGTTGAGGCTCTCTCCTAGTTACTGGCAGGCGAGTGTGGGTGGTGCTAGGTGTGCTCACTTGAGGGGCAGGGCTGTAATGAGGGAAATCTGTGTATTTCGGAGCGCAAGTACATGTTAGACCAGGCAAGGAAATGCTCTTTGTGTTTACTTTATATGTGCTCCTGGGCCCGACAGATTGCTCTCAACTTGGCAAAAGGGGATTATTATAGTGGTGAAACTAGCAAAATTACTGACAGTGTTTCAGTGTACTGTATTAATGTTAGAAACTTGACTAGTCAGTCACCTTTTAGACTTCAGAGGGACACCTTCTACCCTAAAATTCACTATAGGCCTACTTTGTTTTATTGCACTGTGCAGATACTGCATTTTTACAAATTGAAGGTTATTGGCAACCCTGGGGTCAATAATCACCATTTTTCAACAGCATGCACTAACCTTGTGTCTTCGTGTCACATTTTGGTAATTCTTGAAATATTTCAGACTTTTTCATTGTTACGTCTTACGGTGATCAGTGATCTTTGTTGATACTATTGAAATAGTTTTGGGGCACCACTGAGACAGGGAACTGACAGGTACTGCTTTGGGCGTTGCTGCAGCATTGTCTAGTGGAGTCCAGAATTCTCAAAACAAAATTTCAAATTATCCAGATCAAAACAGGATGGAGGCATGGCAAGTTCCAACCAGTTAGAACCAAGACGGTGAAACACCGCCCTCCGTGAATATTCTTCCCCTTGTTTAGCCTATAATTAAGCCGTTGCTTAAATAGAAAGGCCACAGAAACTAGGGGGCTGGTTTTCTTTTCTTTCTTGTGAAGTCAAAGACCCTCTTGGATCTCAAAAGGCTCCCAGTATTGGGAATCACTTTCCTGTGGCTCCATGAACCGCTTCCCTATAAAACCGGAGACTTATTCAATTAATGTTGTATGTGTTCTGACTCCTCCACCAACTGGCCATTTTCCCCCCACCACAATCTTGAGTCTTCCTATTCCCTGAGATGCAACAATATTGAAATTAGGTCAATTAAAACCCTGTAGTCGCCTCTAAGTGTTCAAGTGAAAAGTCATGCGTCCCTCACTTTAAAAATCAAAAGCTAGAGGCCGGGTGCGGTGGCTCACGCCTGTAATCCTAGCTCTCTGGGAGGCCGAGGCAGGCGGATTGTTTGAGCTCAGGAGTTCGAAACCAGCCTGAGCAAGAGCGAGACCCCGTCTCTACTAAAAATAGAAAGAAATTAATTGGACAGCTAAAAATATATATAAAAAAAATTAGCCGGGCGTGGTGGCACATGCCTGTAGTTCCAGCTACCTGGGAGGCTGAGGCAGTAGAATTGCTTGAGCCCAGGAGTTCGAGGTTGCTGTGAGCTAGGCTGATGCCACAGCACTCTAGCCCGGGCAACAGAGTGAGACTCTGTCTCAAAAAAAAAAAAAAAAAAAATCAAAAGCTAGAAATGATTAAGTTTAGTAACGAAGGCACATGTAAGCTGAGACAGGCTGAAAGGTAGGCCTCACACAACAAACAGCCAAGTTGTGAGTGCAGTGGAAAAGTTCTTGAAGGAGATTAAAAGGAAATTACTACAATAAACACAAAAATGATGAGATTGCTGATATGGAGAAAGTTTTAGTGATGTGGAAAGAAGATCAAACTAGCCACAATATTCCCTTAAGCCAAAACCTAATCCAGAGCAAGGCCCTAACGCTCTTCAATTCTATGAAGGCTGAGAGAGGTGAGGAAGGTGCACAAGGAAAGTTTGAAGCTGGCAGCGGTTGATACATGAAGCTTAAGGAAAGAAGCCATCTCCATAACATAAAAGTGCAAGGTGAAGCAGCAAGTGCTGATGGAGAAGCTACAGCACATTATCCAGAAGATCTCGCTAAGATCATTGATGAAGGTGGCTACCCTAAACAACAGATTTTCCATGTAGACAAAACAGCCTTCTATTGGAAAAAGATGCCATCTAGGACTTTCTTGGCTAGAGATGCCTGGCTTCAAAGCTTCAAAGGACAGGCTGACCATTTTTTTTTTTCTTTTTTAGAAACCCAACTGAGAAAGGCTGACAATCTTGTTAGGAGCTATTGCAGCTAGTGGCTTTAAGTTGAAGCTAATGCTCACTGACCATTTTGAAAATCCTAGGACCTTTAAGAATTATGCTAAATCGGGCCGGGCGCGGTGGCTCATGCCTGTAATCGGGAGGCCAAGGCGGGCGGATCATTTGAGCTCAGGAGTTTGAGACCAGTCTGAGCAAGAGTGAGACCCCGTCTCTACTAAAAAAATAGAAAGAAATTAGCTAGATAACTAAAAATATATATATATATATAAAAATTAGCCGGGCATGGTGGCACATGCCTGTAGTCCCAGCTACTCGGGAGGCTGAGGCAGAAGGATTGTTTGAGCCCAGAAGTTTGAGGTTGCTGTGAGCTAGGCTGACGCCATGGCACTCACTCTAGCCAGGGCAACAAAAAAAAAAAAAAAAAAAAAAAGAATTATGCTAAATCAATTTTGACTGCGTTCTATAAATGGAACAAAAAAGCTTGGATGACAGCATATCTGTTTATAGCATTGTTTACTGAATATTTTAAGCCCACTGTTGTGACCTACTGCTGAGGAAAAAAGATCCTTTTGAAAATATTACTGTTCATTGACAATGGACATAGACACCCAAGATCTCTGTTTTCTTCTTCTTCTTTTTTTTTTTTTTGAGACAGACTCTTGCTCTGTCACCCAGGGTAGAGTGCTGTGGCATCAGCCTAGCTCACAGCAACCTCAAACTCTTGGCTCAAGCGATCCTCCTGCCTCAGCCTCCCAAGTAGCTGGGACTACAGGCACATGCCACCACTCCCAGATAACTTTTTCTGTTTTTAGTAGAGATGGGTCTCGCTCTTGCTCAGGCTGGTCTTGAACTCCTGACCTCAAGTGATCCTCCTGCCTCGGCCTCCCAGAGTGCTAGGATTACAGGTGTGAGCCAGCATGTCTGACTGACACCCAAGATCTCTGATGGAGATGTACAAGGAGATAAATATGGTTTCATGCCTGCTAACATGTCACCCATTATGTAGCCCTTTGATCAAAGAGTAATTTCAACTTTCAAGTCTTACAACTTAAATACATTTTGTGAGAATGTAGCAGCCATAGATAGTAATTCCTCTGATGGATATAGGCAAAGTAAATCGAAAAACTTCTGGACAGGATTCACCCATTCTAGATGCCATTAAGAACATCCATGATTCATGGGAGGAGGTCAAAATATCAACATTAACAAGCATTGGGAAGAAGTTTATACCAATCCCCATGGATGATTTTGAGGGGTTTAAGACTTCAGGAAGAAGTAACCACAGATGTGGTGAAAATAACAAGGGAACTACAAAGAGAAGTGGAGGCTGAAGACATGAATGAATTGCTGTAATCTCATCATAAAATTTTAGCAGATTTCCAATCATGAGCATCTGGAGATTTAAAAAAAAAAATTTTAACAGATGAGGAGTTACTTCTTATGAATGAGCAAAGAAAGTGGTTTCTTGAGATGGAAACTACTCCTGATGAAGATACATGGGACATTGTTGAAATGACAACAAAGCCTTTCATATATTATATAAACTTAGTTGATAAAGCAATGACAGGGTTTAAGAAGATTAACTGTAACTTTGAAAGAAGTTCTACTGTGAGTAAAATGCTACTAAACAGCATCACATGCTACAGAGAAATCCTTCATGACAGGAGGAATCAATTAATGTTGAAAAATTCAGTGCTGTCTCATTTGAAGAAATTGCCACAGCCACTCCAATCTTCAGCAACCACCACCCTGATCAGTCAGCAGCCATTAACATTGATGCAAGACCCTCCACCAGCATAAAGATTACAACTTGCTGAAAGTTCAGATGATTGTTGGCATTTTTTGGCAATAAAATACCTTAAAATTAAGGCATATACATTATTTTGGGGGACATAATGCTATTGCACACTTAATGGACTGCAAGATAATGTAAACATAGCTTTTATATGCACTGAGAAACCAAAATATTGTGTGAGTCACTTTATTTTGGTGGTCTGGAGCCAAACCCACAATATGTCTGGGTATGCCTGTATATTTTTGCATGGCTTAGGTTGATCGTAAAGTGCTATTTCAGCATCTCTGTCCAGCTAAACACAGTTTCATTCCTATTTTAACAGCAGCTGTTTATTCCACACCTACAAAGGCATTTTTCAGAAAACCAGGCAAGGATATATGAAAAAGTGGAAAATGAACATGGTAATTTGAGGCTTAATACATGCAGTAGATGACTTACCATTGAGTTGTTTTCACAGAGCCATATAAGTAATTGGAGAAAAAAGGCCAATATTAAAATTGGTGGTTATATTTCCTGGTTCATATACACTGAGAAAATTAATGGTGGAGCTAATATCTTTGAGTGTTGCTCAATGCCAGATCCATGCTCCTATTAAATTCTATTGCTGGCCAGGCACGGTGGTTCACACCTGTAATCCTAGCACTCTGGGCAGCTGAGAAGGGAGGAGCACATGAGGTCAGGGGTTTGAGACCAGCCCCAGCAAGAGCGAGACCCTCTCTCTACTAAAAAATAGAAAAAAACTAGGCGGCCGTGGTGGTGCTCACCTGTAGTCCCAGCTACTCAGGAGGCTGAGGCAGGAGGATTGCTTGAGCCCAAGAGTTTGAGGTTGCTGTGAGCTAGGCTGATGCCACAGCACTCTAACCTGGGTGACAGAGCGAGACTGTCTTAAAAAAAAGAAAAACTATTG